AAGTACTTAGAGTTCCCGCATTGAAAGACTCCTATTGTTCGGAGATATTATTATTTCAACGTTAAAAATTCTATCTTTTCTACATATCTTTCCAATTACCTTCTACTTATAAAAATTTTTAATTTTTATTTTAGTAAAACACTTTTACTTAGTACTTACGTAAAAGTTTCAAAAAAATATTTGTGAGTGAAATAATTTTTAGATCTCCAAATTTTGTTATTATATTCCTTTCTTTCTCCAAACAATTAGGGATCTCTTATAAAACCTTTTCTAATTAGCTTGGCGTAAGAATCTAAAGGTGATTTTTTAATTTATGCAAATAAAATTATATACATAAATCATATAATATTTTATTTTTTTCTCAAATTTTATTTTATTTTTTCGAGGCGATTCTCTTCAAGTTTACTTAATTAGGTGTGGCAAACAAATATAATCAAGTGCCAAAGTTTCTAACTCTTTTTATAATAATATTTTAATTTTATTATTTGAATAAAATGTCTACTAGAAAGTATGAATCAGGTTATGAAAAACGTAAAGAAAAACAAGGTAGAAGAACTAATTCAATCCCAAAAAGGTGCACTTGATAGATTTGTTACTAATATTAAACCCCAAATACTAAAAGAACAAGATAAAGACTCAAATGAAAATATAGTTAAAAATTGTGAAGAAAAATTTGAAGATAATAATTCAAATTCACCAAAAAGTAATGAAGAATATGATGAAAATTTAGAAGATGATTTTCAATCAATAAAAATAAAAATATTAATGATGAAGATGTAAAAACAATTAAAAATATTTACGATCCGACACAATGAAAAAATTTAGACTCAAAACTGATTGATTTATTAGTTGAGAAATGTCCAATTAGAGAAATTTTAGATTTTCCACGAGATAAAAATTCTAGACATTTTTCTATAGTTCATTACATTAAAAAATTACCAAACGAGAGAAAAACATGATAAAAAATGACTAGTATATTCAAATGATTTAGATAAAGTGTTTTGTTATTGTTGTAAATTATTTAGTTTGAAATCAAATATTCAATTAGCAAATGAAGGGTGTGGAGATTGGAAAAATCTTAGTATCAAACTTAAAAGTCATGAAACAAGTAATGAACATGCTATTAATATGAACATTTGGGTTGATGCTCAAATGAGATTGCTTAATAACAAAACAATTGATAAGCATTTACAAGAGAAAATAAATAAAGAGAAAGAGCATTGGAGGAATGTATTATTAAGAATTATTGTTGTTGTAAAAACTCTTTCAAAAAATAATTTGGCATTTCGTGGTACAAATGAGAAGATTTATCAGGAAAAGAATGGAAATTGTTTGAGTTTAATTGAAATGATTGCTAAGTTTGATCTAATAATGCAAGAACACCTTAGATGTATTCAAAATAGTAATATACAAAATGAGTTAATAAATATTTTAGCATTAGAAATAAGAAATACCATTATCGGGAGAATAAAAAAATCAAAATATTTTTTAGTTATACTTGATTATACTCCGGATGCAAGTCATCAAGAATAGATGTCTCTTATATTAAGATGTGTAGATATTTCGATAATTAAAATAAAAATAGAAGAGTATTTTATAGATTTTTTAAAAGTGGATGATACCTCTGGTGAAGGTCTTTTTAATGAACTTACAAGTAAGATAAAACTCTTGAATTTGACTTAAATGATGTGAGAGGGAAAGGATATGATAATGGGTCTAATATGAAAGGTAAACATCAAGGTGTACAAAAACGATTATTAGATATAAATTCTAGAGCATTTTATACATCATGTGGGTGTCACAATCTTAATTTAGTTCTTTGTGATATGGCTAATTCATGTGTTAGTGCTATAAAAATTTTTGGAGTGACACAACGCATATATTCATTATTTTCTTCTTCTACAAAAAGATAGAGAATTTTGCAAGATCATGTTTTTAATTTGACACTTAAGCCACAAACACATTGGGAAAGTCGTATTAAAAGTGTTAAAGCAATTAGATTTCAAGCTCAACAAATAAGAGATATTTTATATCAATTAGCGTAAACTAGTGAGGATCCTAAAACAAAAAGTGAAGCTATTTCTTTAGCAACATATGAGATTGAAAATTTTAAATTTCTATTAGGCACGATTATTTGGTATGATATGTTGTTTGCTCGTTAATACGATTAGCAAATATTTACAATCTAAAGATATGGATATTGCTTTTGCAATAAACCACTTGAAATGTCTTATTTCTTTTTCTAAAAGCTATAGAGAAAATGGGTTTACATCTTCTATGATCTTGGCTAAGGAAATTGCAAAGCAAATGAATATAGAATCAAAATTTCGTGAAAAGAGTACAATAAGAAGAAAGAAACAATTTGATGAGATTGAAAATGAAGATATGAAATTATATGTTGAAGAATCTTTTAGAATTAATTATTTTACATATTTAGTTGATCATGCGATTTCCTCCGTTCAAAATAGGTTTGAATAATTTAAAATATATGAAGATAATTTTGGTTTTCTTTATAGTGTAGAAAAATTAAAATCACTTGCTGATGATATTTTGAAAAAAAATTGTTTAAATCTTGAAAACTTTCTAAAGCACGATATGCTTTCCGACATTGATGGTTTAGATTTATTTTCAGAATTAAAAGTTTTAAAAGAAATTATAACTATGGAAATGAAAACACCACTTTCCATACTAAATTTTATAAAAAAGATAAATTCTTTTTCGGATGCATGGATAGCATATAAAATACTATTAATTATCCATGTTACCGTAGCTTCGATTGAAAGAAGTTTTTGAAAATTAAAATTAATAAAATCTTATTTACGTTCAACTATGTCACAAGAAAGATTAAATAATTTGGCTATATTATCAATTGAAAAAGATTTGATTTGTAAACTTAAATACAAAAATTTAATTAGAGATTTTGCATCTCGGAAAGCAAGAAACATAAAATTTAAATAATGTTTAATATTTGTTTATTTTATGAAAGAGTCTTTAAAACATTATTTTGCCTAGGGCCACATTTATTATAAAGCCAGCCTTGATCCTTCTTCACATTTAACACCTAATATCTTTATAAAAATCACGAACCTCATTTATAATTAAACCCCCCTCACTTAAATTTAAATTTGGTTGTTTAAATGCCATAACCCTAGGTGTCTTATATCCATATTCAACAATAATATCATATAGATCTTTTACATTCATAAAATTAAGGTCTTTTAACCACTCAACCGATACAACCCTAACATCCTCAATATAAGAAATGAGACTCATGTTATTAAAAATTCAACCAAAATGAAAATTACTCTTGAAATGATTTGCCATCATATGGACAAAAACACCAACCAAAAGACAAACAGATTTGGGTTTGGATTATCTAATTTTAGGGATTGTGATTTAACATTTTGTTGGAAAAATTTGAGTAATTGAACGTATGACAATATGTGTTTTGACAGAAAGGGTTTTTGGGATATTTTCTTAAAGGTTCATCTCATGGGGTTTGAGATTTTGGATTTAGGGGATTAGGCTTTTTGGAGGATTTGCTTGAAGAGATAGAGAAGGGTTAGAGATTTTGAATTTTGGGGATTAAGGATGGATAGGGGTTTGGGTTTTCGGTTGCTAAACTAGAGCAATTATTCTCGTGATGTAAGGAGAGAACGAGGTTAAAGGATTCGTGGGTTTAGAGGATGAGAAGGAAGGAGAAGACGAAGGAAGAAGAAAGGAGGATCTATGGGTTCAATTCGTGAAGAAGGAATGAGAAGACGAAAGAAGAAAAAGGGAGGATTTGTGAGTTCAATTTTAAGAAGATAAAGGGAGACGAAGAAGAAGAAGAAGAAAGATGGGTGTGCTCGTGCAAAATTAAAATGAAGAATAAAGGATTATACGAAGTTAGCGTTAATTTGAATTGGAGATTTTGTTGTAATTGAGGTATATAGGGGATGACATGTCTTTTAAGCTTTATAATTAGCTTTGCTCGAATTTAGGTCAAAAAATCGGATCTATGCTAATGTTATTATCGGAGACTTAGTTAATGACCTTTTTATCCAAAATTAAAAGAACGGGTTGAAATCATTAAAAAAAATATAAAGTTCATGATTTTCTAGAACATGAAACCTAATTTTAATAGATAGACATAATGATTAATAAGTTGTGTTTCATTTTTATTTTTTTCTATTCTAAATTTGAATTTTAAACAAGTATTTAGAATATCATTCTTCTATTATTCTAAATGTACCATACCAATACAAAGAATACATTTTAAATTTTTTTTTAAACTTATTATCGATTGATCTTAGTCTTATTAAATGGCTCTAACAACTCGTAAGTGTTTGAAAAAAAAAAAAATTTGTTTGCTAACCATATGAAATCAACACAAAAATATACTAGACAAATCAAATAAAATTCCACAAGAAATTTGGAATCTCACACACACACACATAATGCAATAGTAAATTATGCTTCATATGTGCTTATTACATAGATTAATCAGGATGACATCCAGCTTGTTCCTTAATATTAATTTCAAACCTTAGAAAACTCAGCAAAAAGGGTCCATATTTCTTCTCCCAGAAATCTAAAAACGGACACAAAATTTATTGGTTACTCAACAGAGCACGCGGATCTTGATCTTGTTCACGCTTCTTCAAACATTCACCACCGTCGATTCCTTTGAGTCAACGGTCACAAACTTTTCTTGAAAAGAGATGTTTAAATTTCAAGACCAAAAAGTTTTAAAAGTTCGTGCCCGCCTAAAAGAAGCAATCCTATTGGTCACTTCACACGGCACTCTGATCGCCATCTCCACCGGCCATAAATTAAAAACCAACGGTGTAAAATCCATTTCATTCAATCCTTCTCCTCTTCTCCCTCTCACTTCCAATATAAAAATCGTCAGAACCTCCATTCACTCCCCAGCACAAACAATAAAAACCCTAACTTCCCCCTTTTTTCTCGAGAAACAAACAGAAACCTGAACCTAATTTTCTAATTCAATCCTTTCAATGGCTCGTACCAAGCAAACAGCAAGAAAATCCACCGGAGGCAAAGCTCCAAGGAAGCAACTAGCCACGAAGGCAGCCAGGAAATCAGCTCCAGCCACCGGAGGAGTGAAGAAGCCTCACCGTTTCAGGCCAGGAACAGTGGCCTTGAGAGAAATCAGGAAGTACCAGAAGAGTACTGAGCTATTGATAAGGAAACTGCCATTTCAAAGGCTGGTGAGGGAAATAGCCCAAGATTTCAAGACGGATTTGAGGTTTCAAAGCAGTGCAGTAGCTGCTCTTCAAGAGGCGGCAGAGGCATACCTAGTTGGGTTGTTTGAAGATACCAACTTGTGTGCTATTCATGCTAAGAGGGTTACCATAATGCCTAAAGATATCCAGTTGGCCCGTAGGATTAGAGGCGAGAGGGCTTAATGAAGGAAGTTAGTTACCTCTTTTCTTTTAGTTTTATGCCTCTGGTGCAATTTCTTTCTCTGTTCAGATGTTGTGTTCTTTAGGTTATTTTGGGCCTGTCTCATTGTATATCATGTTCTGATTAAATCAGGAATTGAGTTGCTTATCTTCAATTCTGCTTGTTTGATGACATCTCAGTCTTTTTCTATTCAAATTGATTGGTAAAATTTGACCCCAAATGAAATGGATCCTGAAATTTTCACCCCAATAAAAATAAATTATTGCTGATGTTATCCTTGTGAATAATCTGGCCTTAAATCAATGATCTCTTCTCCCTGGAAGACATCCAAGATGTGATAGCACCTACTGCCAAAACAAGAGGCACCAGAAGCATTAATTCAAGCAGCTAGGCCGATCCATGCCAATGGTAAGCTGAGGGGAAAGCCTACCTAGCTATACCAGTGCAACTGTCTTTTCCATTCTTCTTTTCCCATGTGTTAGTTCTGATTAATTTGTCTTTGTTTTGCTCTGGTTTCATCATTGACAATTTGTTAAATGACTTTCCACTTGTATATCTAGGTAGGCTTTCCACTCAGCTTGCCATTGGCATATATTGTGCTAGCTACTTAAATTAATGCGTCTGGTGCCTCTTGTTTTGGCAGTAGTTGCTATCACATCTTGGCACAATCTAATGTTGTCACCAAAGAAGCGCACTTCATTGATTTTGATAAGTTTTTGCCATATCAGTTCACATTCTAGCGTATTTGCTTTGGTGCCTATATTATCTTCTTCACCCTTTTCTGTGAATTTCAAATTGAATCCCCATTGTTAATTTATTAGGTTTTTCCTAAAAGTTCTGGGGATAGAACTTACGTTTTCAAGCAGTGCATATATATATATGGTTATTGTTTTAAACTGTAGTTTAGTTTTGGGAGTCAGAACCTTAAAAAAATTTAGCACACTACAGGTGGGAAGCAATCACGTATGTATAAACAATGCGGATGAATTATTCTAACGTAGTTTCTGACCTTTCAGTTCATCATGTTTTGCAGGTCGATTGGGGTATTCTGACTATTTATAAATTTTGAGTTCACACATGTTCATTGCCCTCCTCTGACTTGGTTGTAAGCGAATCTCACCCACCCAAAATTGCATTATTTGTTAATAGGTAGTTTGTCACTTAGTTTTCCCTAATTGAAAATGGCTATCCTATTGACTTGGAATGGGTCCAAAGCTTCTGCTGATCTGCTATTCTTTAGAAGATCTTCATGGCTAGCGACATGTTAAGCAAGATGTCTCCAGTGATTGTTTGGCCTGGTTACAGTACTTTGTTTATTCCTGTCATTATTTTGCATGTTTGTTTATTCATGTCATTATTTTGCATGTTTAATTTGTAGATTGGTAATTTAGTATTCAATCATACAACAAATGGTCTTATATGGTAGCCAAAGTCAAGCCATGAACCATAAATTTGAAATTTCTCCAGTTGGTGGTACGAAGGGCTAGCTGTGTCAAGTGCTCTGGAGGGAAATTACTTTTGTTGAACAAATACCATGGGTAGTAGTTGAGGCTACCAGCAGCCTTAACCGCATTGGGAATAGAGGTTTCTTATTTTTAGATTCATTTCTACTTAATTCAACAACTGTAAATGGCACCCCAGAAAGACACCAAGTTGTTGACTGACATACTAGAGGGTGACGAACTCTTAGCATAGAACTAGAAAAACACCAGAAAACTGGGAAAAAAAAAAAAAAAAACTGCAGAGAAGATTTTGTGTAAAAAGTGAGTGCAACAGAGGTGTGTTTTCTTTTAACTTTGAAAGGCGTACAACTCTTGGAAGTTGATCTAAGTGTGCTTAAGTTGCCATGAAAATTAGCTGTGTTTACCAATCTTTGCTTTCCAATTAACTAGTAAAAATAGACATGATTTGAGTGAAGAAAATTCAGATTCCATTCTGTGCGAATATTCTTGCTGTTGTTTTGATAATTTTGTAAGTGATTTTGTGTGATTTCTTTTATATATGTTTTTGGATTTGTTAAAGCATCTCATACACTCTACTGATCGTATTCCATGATTCGTAGATGCTGACACTAGCAAAGTAGCAATTATATCAACTTGTTGTAGGATGGAGGTTCTTGTATCATCGAGGAGCAGATGGAGGAAAACATTGATCAAGTTTCACTTGACATCAACAACTAAGCAAAGTCTCTGAGAGACAAGTCGAAAGTCTTAGGTCCATTATCATTTGCTTGCTGTATCTACAGAGTTCCTCCCCAAATTTGAGAGTCAAATGATAAGGCTTACACATCCTGAGTTGTCTCTATTTGGCCCATTTCACCATGCGAAGAAAAACTAAGAGCAATGGAGGAACAAAAAATGAGGTGCTTGAAAGATTTCCTTGTCTGGAGCAAGGTAAGGTTGGAGGTTTTGATCAAGGTCATTAAAGAGAGCGAGAAAAAATTGCATAACTGTTATGCAGAAACCATTAAATTTAGTAGTGAGGAATTTGTGGAAATGATGGTATTAGATGCTGTTTTCATCATTATGTCCTTACTGACACTTCACTGGGGGTTCCTTGGAAGTAGTAGGGACCTTGTACACAATATGAGAAGTGATATAGGGCATGACATGTGCTTGCTTGAGAATCAACTTCCGTTCTTCATTTTGGAAGACTTGCTTGAGCAATCCAGTGTGATCCGCGATATTTCCACAATTGAACTTGCCATTCAGTTCTTACAACATAGATGCGGTTCATGGGTGACCAGAGGGGCTTTGGCGAAAGTCAATCCCTCTCGTCGAGTAGCACATTTTGTCGACATTCTAAGACTTTGTCAGCAGCAATCCAATCAGTTGGAACTGCTGTAACTCGGAGTCGGAAGTCAATCTAAATCCAGTGTAACACAACTCCACTGAGCTGGAGTGAAATTTGTGCTGAGTTCAAGTAAGAACCTACTAGATATAAAATTCAATAAAGGGATTCTGGAGCTTCCAAAATGAAGAATAGAGGACGGCAAAGACTTCTATTCAGAACTGTCCTAGCCTATGAGCTGTGTCATTCTCGTACCAGTTCCATTATAAGTGAGTATTTTTTTCTTCATCAATTCTCTAGTCAATAATGCTAAGGGTGTGTAAATACTTTGTGAAGCATGGAATTGTTGAACATTTTATATCAAATAATGAAGCAGTGTCAAATATTCTTACCAATCTCGGCTGCAGAGTTTCCTTCCCTCCGAATTCCTACTTTTTAGCTCTAGCTGAAGATCGGAAAGCATATTGTAGAAGGCCTTGGAACATGTGGAGGGCAAACTTGAAGCAAGATTATTTCAATATTCCATGGACTGCCATTTCTGTTATTGCACCTGCCATTCTCCTCATTCTCACTTTCATACAATCAATCTGTTCTGTAATTCAAGTTGCTTAATTAGCTTCTACCATTTCACTTGTAACCTGTGTGAATTTAAGGATATTTTTTTTGTAGACTCTACCTTGTTCCTGTTTTTTTCTTTTTTGTTCTTCAAACTGGGATTAGTTACCCTTAACCCTAATGCTTAATCCATCAACCAAAGCAAATTTAATTGGTTGGTGCATTAATGGACCCTGATGGAGGAATTGCTTACTCAAAGTTGGAAAAGTGAGTATTCCATTAGCTACCTGTGGTCATTGAAAAGCTATATGATTTCAATTGGAATCTTTTAATCTATAGGGACTAAATTAGACGATTTGAGAACGTATAGAGGCTAAAACATAGTTTACCCCAAATACAATCAGACCTTTTCCGTTTGGGTTCTAAATTCTAACCGACCCGAATTACGACATGAACACAATACCATTAAAGTACACATTAGGCGCAAGTTAGCATAAATCCCAATGGCGGGAAATGGAAAAGGCATATAATATTTGGTTCCGGCAAAATCCACTGCAGAAGAAAACTCTAGAAAACTGTTGCTAGACGAAATGCTGGTGAAGCGAATGTGTAATAGGCAAGCAATAAACAGAGAGGGTGCTCTCGGGTGGGAGATTTCATGGCAACTTACAAGGCTGAGGTGGCAGCTTACGTGGACAAGGCTAGCTGGCATTTGTTAGTAGCAAGCTATAAGGCTGAGGTGGCAACTCACGTGGACCAGGCTAGCTGGCATTTGTTAGTTAGCAGCTATATTGTTAAGAATCAGTTAAGAGTTAGTTAGGCAGAAGGGAAGTTGTTATAAAAGGCGGGAAAAGCTTAGTTGGGGGATTAGGCAAATTTGGTTGTTCTTCCCTCCTCTGGTTTTTCTCTCTGAAATTCTTCCTCTTCTAAGCTTCTTCCTGATTCATGATTCTTTTTGTATTTTGTAAAAGAATTTCTATTCAGTAGTTCTTGTGCATTGATTTGTTCATTGTATCGTTTTACAAATTGATTTGATTCAATAAAAGTGATTTCTTGCATTCCTTCGTTCAATTTCTCATTACTGGAAATTGACATTGCAACAAAAGGCTACCCAAAAATTGAAGAACACGTTCAAAGGCTGCCCAGAAAAAGAAAGAACAGGTTCGAAGCTGCCCAGAAATTCGAAGAGGAAAACCCAAAAACGGAAGAATTGAACCCCAAATTTCAAAAATTGAGGTTGAAAAAAACTTAAGGATCGAAAATTAGCCAAGAAATACCCAAAACAAAAAACCGAAAAGGCTGACAGATTATGAACAAAAACCCAGAAACCCAAGAACACCAAGACCCTACCCAGAACAAACCCAAAAATGCCCAGAAAATGTGGAACGAATTAACCCAAATCTTTCGAATTTTAATCCTTTTTAGCTTTGCTTTTCACTCTCTCCCAACCTAGATTTTTTTTCCTTTCTTCCTCCCCTCTTCTTCCATGCCAATGTAGGCCTCTTATAGGCATAAATTGGCTTGAATATCTCCTCTAGAATCCCACTGTTCACACTAGACCCAAAAGTCAAGGCAAAGATTTGCTTTAATCAGATAAAACCAAAGCATCGATTGCGTTGGAGCATGATTCCAAAACTTAATTTGGGGAAGATTTCACTCCTGGGAAATATTGGGGAACAATCCCAGGAGTGATTCCGGATTGGAGTGGACGACAAGTCGTCTTCATGACTTTAGTCCCGCCGTCTTCTTCAAAGTTCCAAATCAGTCCCTTCGAATTTCCATTTTCTGCAATCACGCCCCTTTTTTATACATGTTCAATCCCTGTAAACTGTGATTTTATCAATTGAGCTCCTATGGGGTGTAATTTAGGTTTTAAATTTCCCTATTGATTCAAATGTATCTCTAATTACCTTAATTATACTTTCCTTTGATGCAATTGCCCACCTAAATGAGATTTTTTTTGTATTTTCTATGTATTTCTTTTATCTTTTTTTGTATTTTTTTATTTACTTCCTTTTTTAAGAAAATAAATAAATTCCTAAAACAAGGCTTGGTCGTGTCTCCTTCCATGGTATCATCTTCATCTTTTGCCTTTATTGTCGTGTCCATTTCCTCTTTTAAGTCTCCTTAACATAAGCAATAACAGCATACAAGCAAGGATAGAAGACATCTAATGATATCAAATAGTAATAGAAGTTAAGAATAGAAGTCTTACTCTTACTCTTTTTGTAGTCCGTTAATACTTTATAAACTTATCCTATGTATAACTCTATAAAAAATAGAGCGACACAAGCAATATATTATTGAGCTTTTACACTCTGCTAGGATTTCTTCTAATTCAATTATATAACAAACCTTTTAGATATAACTAGCATGTCGTGCATTGCTATAGATCCACTGACGATATCTTATTTTAATTTAATTTGGTAATAATTAAGATAAGTATGGGTAAAATTTTTTAATAGCTTAAACTTATGAGTAAAATCTTAATTAAAAAATCAAAAGTCTTTCAAGAAAAAAATATGGAAGTAAGAAAAAATCTTCTACCCTAAATTATTATTTTAAAATTTTTCAACTTTTAATTCTTGAATAAAATAAACTTTTCAATTTAATGAGGAAATACATGATGAAATGTTAGTGCCTTTATTTATGTAGATTATTTCTTTGATATTTAATGAAGGAATTTTGGAGTTAAAATATCGCAAATAGAAAAATTGCTTCCATCTTAAATTTAATTTTCATGACCAACAATTTTGTACAAAAAACTAAGGAATTTATTTTTCATTGGTGAATTTGAAATTTATTTTTGCGAAATTAAATTAAGTATTTCTGAACTTAAATCATTTTTCTTTAATCAAGACATTGTTTATTTGTACTAAAGATCATATTAGGTAGCAATCATAAAATTTATTTATGTTTTGATTTCCCATTTAATTTTTTTATTAAAAAATTCAATTTGATCCAATAAAATCAAGGAAAAAAATTGAAACCTTGATTTTTCTTTCAATCGCAATAATTATTTCTTAATTTCAAGATTATGTAGCCAAATATACTTTTTATACAGACTTCAACCTTGTATAATCTTTTTATAATTGAATTTGAAGATGAAATTTTAAATGTATTTATTTTAGGAGAGAAAATTTCATTTGGTTTTAATGATGAAAATTATTAGATCCATAAGAATCTAAGCGGAAAATTCATTCTCCTTTATAATATTTTCTATCACAAATATTTTGAAAATTATAAATAATTTCAAGTAAGTAAATATCTCAAAATACAATATTAATTGCTGATTTTTATTTTTATTTTTTTATTGTGCTTCTGAATTTATATTATACGATAATATTTTTTTATTTTTTGATAATTACTCTCTAAAAATAATAAATAGTTTTAGACCCTAGGTTTGTTCTGTGTGTGTGTGTGTGTGTAATTGTGCTTCTGAATTTACATCTTAAACTAATTTTTATAGAACAAAACTCTTGATGAAAATTTAAGACTGCATGTGTTAACTTAATTTAAACCTAAATATACTTCATCTTGCGTAAAATATATTGCAGATAATTTTTCCTATGCTATCTAAAAACGACTTATATTGCAACATAGTACGTTTTCGGACTATTACGTATGCTATTTTCTCTTGTTAAAGCGTGTATGTCATTGCTATTACTATTTGTAGACAACACGTTGTTGCAATGTCTAAAAATCAATATTGACATATCAGGTTTCTTGTGGCTCAATAACTCTTCTTCTATGCACGATTTAGAGATGGTTGGCAGATGGGGGTTGAAAAATTCATATATATATATATATATATATATATATATATATATTGTGCTTGACTGAACTAATTCAGCATAAAGAATTGAAAATTTTGTTATATAAAATTCCGAACATGGATGGTTGGCAAATATCCTAGCAAGATACTGCAGCTGAGATATGAAAAACAAGTATTTACCACGTAAATTAGTCAAATTTAGCATGTGATTCGAAAATACTTATTGACATGTAGATCAAACAATCCTCACATTTTTGTAAGAAAATAAAAATAAAAATAATATTAATTTCTAACATTAAAGGCAAGGAATATGTGCATTTGTCACACGTGTTATAAACACATACAAATAAATAAATAAATTAATGATGATGCTCTGTAATGAAAAAAACATTGTTGGTACTTGAAAGACGGATCACCATTCTATAGCAAAACCGGGGAGAAAACGACCCTTCAAAGAGAAGAATAAAGCCCTACTGAAACCAACGATGCCCATGATGGCACTCCCTCCTTGGGAGATATTTTGGTGTTCCCATATTCTTGGCCACATGATCTTCAAATCAGTGGATTAATACTGTATAGGTCAAGCCCTACTGTGCTAATGTAGTTAAAAACAAACAGAAATCACAACTTATTTTCAATGCTTTATTTATTTATATTTATTCTTCTTTTGTTAAAGAAGCGAGCACACAGGAAATTCAAAAGAAAGGAGAAAGAGAAAAGAATGACTGCAAACTTTGAAGTTTGAACATAGACAGAGTTGAAGTTAGGCACCAAATTGGTTAAGAAAATACCAATCAAATGCATGACAAGAAATTGTAACAAGTACTGTGGACATAAAAGATTTTGAACGTAAAAGCAATGAGAACCCATCAAAAGAAAATCATCCCATCGATTGTGCCTGGGCTAGTGCAAGCATGTGTTTTACATGCATGAAGACTACAAAGAGAAAATCACAGGGCATAAAATTGATTTAAAAGAAGTTGAGGATAAATTACTTGTAACCGGAATACACTAACATAATCCCACCTGAATTTTCCCACGTTCAATAAAAACATAAAACCCACTTGGTATCTGACAAGGGGAAAAGTGGGGACCCATTACAGGAAGACAACAGTAATCTCCGGGGGTGAATTCCCAGGCTCTATTAAGCTTTTTAATCAGCATCCATTTCTTCAAGTGCAATTCTAGCTGCAGCCTTGGCTTCCTCTAAGAGTTCATCAGGAACCTGAAGCCCACAGTGAGAACGATTAACACCCAGACTGATTGCATACAAGAAAACATCATCCAAAAGGAATTATCATATGAACTTGTTATTCGATACTATGGTCATGATATAGTTATATAATCTTTCCTTCCCTATTACCAACACCCCACTTCTCCTTGGAGGTTGAACTAGTTAAGAACAGCCAGAGAAGTCTGGCTTTTGCATCTTAAAATTGCAAGGCAACTTCTAATAATGACATAAAAAATTGAGCAGTTTCCTTCTATATCGCAGCAAGCACTGGCACACAATTAGTAATGCATTGCATGTGAAGGTTTTATTAAAATCAAGAGTAGAATCGCACATTTTAATGTTTCTGCTCCAGTATAAGATCAATGCATGTGATGACAGAAAGTGAGAGTAGACCAGAATTACCTTTTGATGCTGTCTCTTTGACTCATCACAAACCCAACTCAATTCCAGTTCAAAGGCCTTGTCCTTTGCTTCATCATGTAACTTGTAAATGCTGATCACGGGAGAAGGAAAAAATCAATTACAAAGAAAGCATGCACAGGGTCGGAGAGGGAGAGAGTTCTCTCTCAATTCTATGATTCAATTCTCAATCTTTCTGCTAATATGATAATTACAACTGTAGATAATCCCTAATAAGAAGGGTTCTTTTCCTCAAAATGTGTCTAGATCATTTATAGTGACTAAAATCAGCTGTTGAGAGCTATAAAATGCTATTAAATCATCTGATATTTGCCAAAGGATCAACAGGGATTTAAAAGGAAAGGAAGGAGGAAAAAAGGAGCCAAGTGTTGCCAAACATTGTTGAATCAATAGAACACTTGCCGAAAGACAAAAAGTCCAGACTCAAAAGGAAACAGGGAAAAATCTATTGAATGCAATGATAATTGACAAAAACAAATGCATGCAAGAGAGAGAGACAGAGAAATGGAGCACTCACATTTTGGCTACTTCAATGACCCCTTCTCGGCATGTCATTTCAGACAGCTTCAACTTTTCAATTTCTCTGTCCACACCATTAATTCAATCATTTTAACAGAAAAAGGAATAAAAGCTAAACAGCTAAAGGATAATATAAATAGCAGAAATACAGCACAACCAATTATAATTTGAAACGAGGGTAACAAAACTAAACCTTTATAAAGATTAATTCCTACACAACAGGTGGTTGCTCTATCAATTGACAAATTGGCTTCAGATCAGTGTACATCATGTTCAAAGAGTTGCCAAAAATAATGAACATCACCTTCTAAATTCCAATCAAATCACAAATCCTTGTGATAAATCATATGGCTAACTAAACAGGGAATAATATTATAACTTACGTTTTAGCAGCCTGCTTCCCTTTCCCTATAGCAGCGCCAAAATATTTCTACATCAAATCAAACAACACAGCATTAGATAATAAAAACACCATGTAACAAAATCAAAAGGGGGAAACATTGCAAAGACAACAAGCATAACTAGAACAAATTAACTCACATAGGATATGCCAGAAGGTTCAACCATGTACAATTGCGGTCCATCTCTGTCATAACCACCAAGAATCACCCCGCAACCAAATGGCCTGCAGCAGAAACAACTTTTATGTAGTTTTTCTTAAGGTAGGCTAAAAAGGTGGACAGAACAGAGGAAACAGACATTTCACCCAAAAAAAAAAAAAAAAGATCAATTCTTTACTTACCTAAGCCACCAATAGAGAGTGCACAAATGCACATAACTAGCAACACGTTCAGCAAGCTCCTTGATGGGAATGGATTCGCCATAAACACTACAAAATCATAATACGACACTTGGGATTAGAAAACTTGAGGTGAAAGAGATCCAAGAGGCAGATCCAATTGTCCCCAGAGCATGATGGGAAGTTATATGAAATGCACGCATACTGCGTTCGTAATTAAAATTTCAGTGACTGAGTCACAATTGAGCTAAAAGCACCCAAAATCAAAAATTTTATTTTCAGCACTCCAACGTCCACTACCAAAATCTAATCGATTAGGATTTGTAACTATCTATTGTTTTCAATTAACTACTCAAGGAGGCTTCAGACTAAAAATAACACTTGCAACTACAAGGCATTGTTCAAAAACAAACCTCTGATAATTGGTTGCCTCACTTTTGGCTCGTGCAACAATTTGTCTCCCATCAGCTGCTAAACCAGCAACAGCCTGATATTTGAAGAGTGAAAAAGTTAGAGTTAATGTTTGCTTGCAGAACATTGGACAAACAATAAAATATTCTTCATAAAATTGTTTGATTTTAAGACCAGAACACTACACCTTTCCTTATACCTCCTACAGCACATCTTTCCTTGAAATAACTGCCATCTAGAACCTGATAACTCAGTGAAAAACACAAAGGAACTACTCCCACTCTCCTCTTTAAGGAAACTAAGATGAAAACTTAAAAGTTAAATTTACACGAAGCAAAATATGTTATCAGTTCTTCCAGTTAAATTGTGCCTGACCTCTGTGATAGAGTTTCATTGGGAAACCAAACTATAGCACCACAGCAACAAAACTCTAAAAAGCAGTCTTAAGTTAAACCTTCTGCAAACAGTATTATTTGATTTTACCATGCACACCAAGAAAACCCATCTGAAATCCATTAAACCCAAACTTATATAGTTGTTTGTTTCAACGATAACCCATTATTGGGTCAGAAACTAACCCTACTGACTGATTCTAAACAAAGATATTTTAGCTCCATAAAACCAAGATTAAGTTCCACTAGGAATTAAAAACACTATAATGATGTAAATCATCCACGACAATAACTTTGCATTAGTTTTAAATGGAAAAATCTGTCTGAAACCCGATAGACAGCAACAAAAAGACGCGAAATTAAGCTCTATTTAGCTGTAAAAATTGTTAAAAGAAAAAAAATCCCAGATTCTTCAACTTTTTACACAAGCATAAACGCCATAAATTCAAAAAAGAAAAACGCAGTACCATGCCGGAATGACGATGAACGGAGTGGATTCTCCTATTGGAACCGGGCAACATCATCTTCGACGCTATTAGCTTCTCCACACCCTAAAATTAAACAATTTTGTAATTATGATTACAATTATCACTAAACCAAATTCAATTTTTCTAAAGAAAGATATAGAATTCATACCATAACAATCCCATCTTTGCACTTGATGCCAATAACAGTACTGCAAAAACAAAAAAGAAAAGAAAACCCTAACGTCAAAACCCAAAAACCCTAATCACTGTAATGCTAGTAAAAACAAAACAAAGCAAAGAAATTGGTCTAAGAGTTTAGACACATCAAGGAATTTTAGAAAGAAACAAACCCGCTGTTATCGACGGCTTTAGCAGCGTATTCGATCTGAAAAACACGGCCGTCCGGTGAGAAAGTAGTGACGGACAGATCGTAGCCTGTACCTATGCTGCTCATCTTTTTATGCTTTTTCTTTTTTTCCTTTAGCTTCTTCTCTCTCTCAGTCCTGCTGTTCTGATTTGTTTTTTTTTTTTTTTTTGGGGGGGGGGGGATTAGAAAGATTTAAGATGAAAAGTTTTCTTCGATCTCAAGACAGAGCTCTACTGCCTCAGTGTTCTGTTTCTTTACTCGCAGTTAACACGGTGAGTTTTTGGGTTACGGGCTGGGTTTTGTTGGCCCATAAAGGTAGGAAGCGAAGCCCATGCTTTTAACATATGATGAAATTGTAAATCTTATTTCTCCTTGTATAATAGGAAAAAAATATATATTAAATTTTGGAAAAACATTAGTAGTGTGGATCCTTTGGTGCTACATAACATGTGTATTGTGAATTCTAATTAGATTTTAATATATATCACAATAATAATATTATATTTTAACACATATATTGTGTTGGTATTGAATCTGTAATATATAATTATATTATAATAATAAATTGTAAAATTTTATCCAATAACAATAGAAATGACGTACGGTATGGACATGAATTTTTATAATGGTTTGATTATAAAAGTATAACTCTGAATTATGGCATTGTGGATTAATTAGAATAAAGTTTATGGATAATTTGGTTATAAATGATTACTTAAATCACATTGTGTAATGGATTTACGAAATTAAGTGAGAAACATAAGACTGTAATAATCATTATTATTTTTTACAAAGAGCTCGGCTAATATTTTCCGGACGTGGGTATTAGATGACATGAGCAACAAAGCTCACTACCAATGGAAAAAAGTATAAAATTAAAGTTGATTTAAAACTACAAGAGAGAGGGGAAAAAAAAAAAAAAAAAAGACACAAAGAACAGTTACAAACATGGCCCACTTTCAAACTAAGCTTTATAGGGTCCTCATTATCAAGCCCAACCAAAGAGCCAATGATTAATGAATATGGGCCTTAAATTTTCCTACATGCGAGGGCCCAATTTAAATACCAACCACATCCTAAAAAAATTACGGAGGCATCTAGGATTTGAATTGTTAAATGTGTTATCGGAATGGGATTGTATGATATTTACTTTAAGTTAAAAATAAAAATGACTAACAATATATCTTTATTATTTTTAGTCTATTATTAAAAAAAATCTCGAGAAATGTAGGTAAATTTATTATTTTATTCTTAAATATTAAAACATATAGTTTAATTATATGATATTTATCTTTAAACATTAACACTTGTATTGCTTGTATTAGCTAAAAAATTGAAATGAATTTAATAATAAATTTAATTTTAAAATTATATATATTACTTAAAGTATTTGTGTTGTTATTAAAAAAAAAGGGATGTATTATTTAATTTAATATACAAATGGGGTGTTTGGATAGAAAAAAATATATATATTGAATGTTTTGAAATGTAGAATTCTCATCGTTTTAAATGGAATCATATCTTTCGAATTATGAGTAATTTAGTGCCTTATGACATTCTATATTTTTTTTGGCATACAAGACATAAGAATGCTTAACATTTTGAATTGCTTTCTACAAATAATATTGAATATCTTAATACTAAACGCCCTAAAAAGAAATTAGTGCCAACTCTTTATTAATTATGGAACAAGGGAAAAAAAATTATTCAACCTCAAATTTTATATTCAAACGCAAACCTGTTACTAATTTCTTAAAGATATATACCACACATTTTTATCCAATTAACTTTATCTATATGTATATCTTAAAATTTAGTTAAATGTTATTTGTTTCAAACATGTCATTTGGCACATCAGCCACCATTTTTTATTTGCTCCCCACCGATTTTGTGTCTTGTCATTGGCAAAAATAAGTCTAAAGTGTCTCTACTTTTCCCACAGTACATAAATTATACAAAACAACTATACGTATGTTTTGTCAATGCCATAATCAATTGGATCATTGACCAATTTTGCAAATCCAAGCCATTGCTCATGACAACAACCGCATAAATAAATGAAACACAGAAACTTTGACGTCCAAGGGCTGGTGCCATATGGATGGACCCCAGAGGCCTATCCTTGCATTAATCCTGCAAGAGTTAAAACAGTCAAAGAAAGACTTCGTGTTGCCTGCGTCGACCGGAAAGTTTCAACAAACATAAAAATGAATTCTGAATAATAATTAATTCTTAGATTAGGATTGATAATTTGGTTAAACTTTAATATAAGAAAACCATTTAAAATTAACGTATAAAAACATATGCACCAAATTATAAAACACACTTAATACATGTGATATTGAGTGACTTGTTCTAATCCAATCTTATAAACCAAGATGATTTAAGCAATCGGTATGATTAATTTACGTTATCACTACTGATTACCGTAATGAATTCATTCATATATGATATAATGGATGATTATGTCAATATATTTATGTTTAGTGTTTTAGGACAATTTTGTATGCTAAACTAAATTCATCTCTTTAGATAAATCAAATAAGATCGTTACGTAAAGATTAGGTTTAATTGATATATAAATTAGTTCAAAAATAATCTTATTATAGAATAAAAAAATAAAAATCATGGCCAGACTCTTGGGACGTGAGCCAATAGTCCCCAGATGAATACTGCATATGCCTCATTGATTGAGTTATATATATATATATATATATATATATTGGCGTATTAGACCGCGGAATGCAAATGGGTTGCGTCATGGTTTCTCTTCTCTCTTGTTTAAGCAGAGTATGATTCAAGATCCCTTTCTATCAATCAACAACCAAAAAGTGTTCCACTGGCCTAGCCAACCAATCAGCAAAAACAAAAACAAAAACAAACAAACCGAATTGACCCGATTTTCAATTAGGTCTGGTTCTTTTTTAAATTTGGTTTTGAATTTTCACTAGGCTTTTTGGTTTCATACTGCTTTTTAAAATTCTTTGTTTTGGTTAAAATTCTATTCGAGTTGTGTTGTCTTATGTTGTAGGATTAAGTACATTAAAATGTTTGATAATAAAATTAGATGTTGTATAATGAGTAAAATCAATCAAATGTTCAGTAGTGTATTATCGTGTTGTTTGAATTAAAATTACTATCAAGAATATAATCTCAAGATTTTTATTATAAAATTAAGATAAATTACTTAAAAACATAAAAATACTTTCATCGTTAAAATAAAAAATCATGAATAATATTACTAAAAAAAATTCAAAGCATCATATAATTTTTTTGAGCATTAGTATAAAAACTATATATATATATATATATATATATATATTAAGCTAGGATATGCAATAATTGTATTTTTTGTGACTTTAGGTGTTTTAATTTTGTTTTTATCTTTTAAATAAAATAAACAATTTCATATTTAAAAAAACATAACTTTTCATATCTATTAAAGCAAAAGTTAATAGAAAGTGAAAGTTAACGGACTTTTAAACCTCTTTTTAAAAAATTAGATTCCACTCTCAAAATTTAAACAACTAATTTTTAAAATCCTTACCAAATATTTTTTAAATACTTTTAATTATTTTGCTTTAAAAACAAAGCATTAAAAACTTGAAAATCAGGTGTCAATCAGCGTCTAAAACTTAGGCAAATAAACATTCCCTTTATGTTATACATTTTACTTTTTTATGGTTTCTTTTTTCTTCTTTCTTTGTTTCTTTCTTTCTTCTTGAACAACACAAGTATATATTATATTAAAAGGTCAAAAAACTAATATAAAGAATCCTGCAATTACAAGTCCATAGAAAAGAATCCCAACTAGCTTAGTACAATAAAATCTTTGAAAAATACATTATTTCACATTATTAATAGCTTTTTCCATATGTAGAATCTTCAACAATAGTACTAATTGTATTGAAAATAATAGAAATATAGATATGGGCTGTGATTGTAAGATATGACGACAATTCCATCGTTTCTAGGCTTCATCATGGGGAGTAGATGGGCGAGAAGATATGCTCCTTCGTAGGTAAGGCCATACTAATTATTATTAAAAAATAAAAATAAAATCACTTTTAAAAAGAGACTCGTTGATTTTCCTTCTAATTTTGTTGAAAAACTCTATTAAAGAGAAAGAAAAGGTAGATGCTTCAACTTACTTACACAACCAAAAAAACCACCAAAAACCACACTCCACCACCAACTCAACACATAAACATACACAAACTAGATAAGATGGAGAAATTTTAATACACTCAAATAGTAAATAAAAATACCTACTATATGGACTCACTTTGAAAAAAAAAAGATAAATACCAAAAAACAAATCACACCAAACTAATAAAAACCGACAAGAATATTTTCACCATAAGATGTCCTTTCAAAATAAATCATCAACACTAAATCCACTCATTTAGTGTAAGAGTCTAACAACTTAAGAGAAGACAATAACAATCTTAACAAAAAAAAAAATCATCCATCAAATCTACCATAAAAGGTAAATTTGTCCAATGAGATCAAAGATCTTCTTACTCAAAGTGGGTGAAAAAGATCAAGTGAAAAGGAGGGAGGTTGCCCATAAAGAGGATCAAGCTTCAAAAGAGAATGACTCTTATTTTAGAAAAACTCTACAAAGAGACATAATAAAATTTTAAAATTCCAAGAGCAACTAACAATATTTACTTACTCATTTTGAAAAGAAAGACAACTCATTTTGAGGGGGGGGGGGGACAAACACAAATAAGAGAGGGAAAATCATATCTAGACCCACCGAAGTGATAAGAATATTTCTATCAACACTCAATTTTTTAATCCTCTCTTTTCTATTTCTCTCTTATCTTTGTGTTTATGTCTCTCATATGGAGTAAATATTGTTAGTTAATTCTAAAATAAAATAAAATAATTATTAGTTACATGTAAAGTAAAATAAAATTTCTAGATAATTTTTCTCTAAAAATTATGTTTCATTGGACTAATACGTGCTCAATTATTTCTTTAGAGTAATCAACTAAAGTGAGTTTCTAATCATTGCGTTCAAATATCTTGTAGTGGTATTAATTTATATCTACAAGGTTCTTTGGCGTATGTATATGGTG